GACCCACCCATCGCAGATCCGAGAGCCGTGGCACACTACAGCCGATCCACGGCGTGGCGCGAACCAAGACTTGTTCAAAAATAAGATTATTTACTTATGTTAGTGAATAGCGTAAGTTATTTCGTTTACCCTTTTCCAGGCCCGGAACTGCAGTTAGGCGCTTCGTTTGCCTTCCTGATGGTATCTGTACCTGATTTAGCTCTTATTTCAACAACTGTCACTGAATGAAATAACATAATGTAATTTACTACTTTACTCATTTGATTTACTAAAATAGATAAATTAGGTTCGGACAAACGAGCTTCGGACAATCGGGGCCCCTACCACTTAGCTACAGATGCTAGACATCTTTACTGAGTAGGGGCCCCAGTAACAAAGATACTGCTCTGAAGCTCAAAAGAATAACCAGAAACAATATCTTAGCTTTTCTCAGAGTAAGTTTTTACTATTATACAAACAGCAAGTGACTTATGCTGTGTAACATCAGATCAGATGCTTTTATATTTTCCCTTATTTCAAATCTGAAAATTTCTCAACTGCGTTTCATTCATTTCCCTCCAATTTGAAAATTTCCATTACTTCTGGAAACTTGACGATTTTAGTGTACTGTGAACATTGCGTAATGAGTTTAACTCCCAGGTAGCAAGGTCCTCATTTGTTGTACACATTTAACCTAATTTTTGCGCATTGATGCGCTAAAATACGCCAAAATACGCCTACGGGGTGGCTCTGATACCAGGCTTCTGTTTGACATCCTTGGACCTGCTCCAGTTTAGGCAAATCCAAACATTTCTCAGCCATTGATGATATTAGATTGTTGTTTGTTTCTTAGGAAAACGATGTTACACTTACAAGTTCACAGGCATGATTGAAATTGACTTTAATATATATTTCTTTGTACATACGATAAATACATTACCATAATATATTTACAGGAAACATTGTGTGCTGCACGTGTTTTCATGCAGATGCAAAGTACAGGTATTTACAATAAACTTTGATTAATTTACCATAGAAAATGGTTTTGTGCAAAACTAAATGCATATTTGAGGCTGAAATATTATCTTTGTGACAATACTTCTGTCATTTTTTCTTCTCTTAATTTTTCTTTTCATAAATTTCCCTATTCTCACTTGCCTGTCTGCTATAATCAATCAAAAAGTTGTCCCAAAAAAAGATG